GTAACTATTTATAATGTTTCCTAAATAATAAAAAAAAATCACAGTGAGAGCAATGAAGATTTTGTAGTTTTGAACCAAAATAAATAACGATAAACTTTTTTTCAATTTACGGTATTTTCTGATTTTGATGTTTTGAACTCTTTTGTGTTTAGAACAATATATACTAATTTTTAAAGTATCAAATTGAATTTTTGTTCAATAAAAATCTTTCAAATGCGACTGTAGCTTTTTTTCCCCAAAAACTTTGTCTTCAAAATAAGGGTGCGTCTTATATTCCGAAATATTTTCTTAGTAGTCTTTTGTTTTTTGGCTAAATTTCATGGTGTTTGGCCAAAGAGAAAGACCCAGATTACTGCCATTGGTCAGTTCCCTTGAGGCTTCCAGGGCTGAATGCGAGAACTATAGAAGTTCCTGATTATTTATCAAGTTATAATTTGTTCAAAGTTAGCATATTTTTGCTCTTAATTTTCAGTTTCAACTTTTTCTTTCAAGTTTTCCCATCACCTTCATGATTAAGATCAAGTATTTCAAACAGCAAAACAGGCTTAATTTCTTTATATGTCTTTTTCACTGTCACATAACTGCAGAGGGAAGCAGCAGTTCTCTCAAGTCACTAAAAGTAATTTTTTATGTTAAATTTCAGTTAGTAAGATAAAAAAAAATTCCAATTAAGTATACAGTAAGTTTGTATTTCCTGTGAAGCTTGATGTATAAAATATGTTTGTAAAAACACTACTTGAGAAATTCGGGAATATGAAGTAATTTAAAAAACCCAAAAATTGTTATTTAATTGATATGACTCATTAATATTAAACACACTATTATGATATTCAGGAATGTAGTTGATGTATACATACAGCTTAAATCATAAAACTTAAAAATCTTATGGTATAGGTTACACAAGCATAATGCTTCTAATTTTGTTTTGTCATTGCTCTCTTGTCATCTTCACGTATCAAAAGTTATTCATTTAAGAGTAAAAACTGGTGTATTTGAAGATTTTAGTTATTTACGATGAAAGTAATTTAATGATTATTTTCTTTTAAACTAAAAATGTACAGACAACTGTCACAGGAGATTGAAAGACTTCACATTGCTTCAGAGAATTGTAGTTCTGAAGGTAGCCGTTCTTCTCAAGGAAGTTGTGATAATCAAAACCAAAAAAGCCTACTTCTGGCTCGGCAAGAAGTTTTAGAGGATCATAACCACCAGCTGGAGCTTCAAGTGCAAAGACTGAAAGAACTTCTGAAGGTAAGTTGAGAACCAATAATGTGATTTATAAAAATACTTTAAGACTAATGTGTTAACTTTCAAGTTGAAGAAGTAAGAAACTTCATATGAATGTCTTAAATTATTTAGTGTTGGATCACAGACTGTGACTAATTTTAAAGCATTTGAAAAAATGTACTGCTAAAACTGAATCATACTTTGTGAGGCATAAAATTTTTTGGCCACATCATATCACAACCAATTACAGCACATATGTAAAATGTAAGCAATTCTATCTAGCCATGAACTTTTCATGTCAATGAACAGTTTTAAGTGTTTCTGACTTTATAAACACAACAAAGTTGATTGTAACAATTAGTATTTTCAGGGTTTGTACAGGTCCTGGAAAGACATGGAATTGTGAAATTTCATTTTCCGGGCTGGAAGTTCATAGAATTTGAAACAGGAGGAATTCATTGCATACACTAGTTGTAATGCACAGTAAATTTTCATCTTAAAGATTTATTTTCATACTTCTCAGTTTCTATTTATCAAAATTGTTATGTTTGTTAACTTATTTTTTTTCCATAAAAAGTTATGTGTTATGTCAGTGTTGCTGCAGTAGTAACATGCCATCTGTGTACTAGGCGTAAGCTGCCTAATTAGTGTATTGGACCAATCAAAACTTATAAAACAAAAATCAAGAAGGCAAATAAAACTTTCCTGAAACATAAATTATGGAATAATGACAAGTATAATCTAAAACAAGTAGGAATCCTTAACAGCCGTAGCACTTAGAATTCTTTTAGGCAGGATTAGAGTAAATTAATCTATGAGACCTTTTTTTTTCTACTTTTTTTATTAACTATATTTTTGCATGCCAGCAATACCAAGCATGGGGCACGTGTATACCCGATTCGATTTTATTACTCATCAGGACCTCTACCAACCTACCCTCAAATTGAAATTTGTTTAGGCAGGATTAGAGTAATTTAATATATGAGACATCGGGCATGGTCAAATAAATCAATTTAAAGGGTTTGACATCCTGAGTCCTAAACTGTGATTAGATCTCAAATTGGTCAATAGATAATGGAGCTATGAGCTAAAATTTGTACTTCTAAAAAAAACTTGGAGCCATTCTACGAGCCACTATGCTGTGGCTAATTAAGTTTAATGTATTTGGAAGTAAATTAGACATGCATTTTTGATTTATGTTTTACAAAATCGTAAAACCTACCGAGCATCAGTTACATTTGACCCTTACAGAGAAACTATGTGACACCAAAGAAAACTAAAGATCTGCCAAGGACTGATCAAGCATCTAATAATGGAATAGTTAAGTAAAGAACTACTTTTTTTAATACATTTAACATTTATTGTACATCCATTTGAATAATGTCACAATGAATATATTTTGATGAAATGTGTTCATGCTGTCCTGCTATTAACTTTTACCTTTTATATAACACTTTCATTTAATAGTTATGAAACAAGCTTAGTACATTTGAGTAAGTATTTGTGCTTCATATGAGTCAGACAGTAACATAACATAAAGATGTTTTTGTGGCCCTGGAAAATCCTTGAAAAGACCTAGGATTTTGTTCTTGGTCAAGTGTATGAACCCCTTATTGTTCTCAAGTGAAATGCTGCATTTATGTAGGCCTTCCTTATTACAGATTATGTGCTGTCACAACTGCTTTTTATTGTGCATGTTAGTTTCTTTGGCAGCAGTCAAAGTTACTGGATTTGGTATAGAACTGGGGGAAAAAAAGGGAAGCCAAATAAGGTAAACATAGTGCAACATTGTTAGAATCAGACAAATGTTTAATTTTTATAATTTTGTTAAGTTAATACAGCTTCTATAAGCTGAAGATTTAAAATTTTTTTTGAAGCCTTATAATGTTTTAGCAACTTCTTCCTGGAAAATACACATTGAAACTTTGTCCTTTTTGCATTAATACGTTAAACAGTTTTCATAATGTTCAGAAATGTTTCAAAAGATAACATTAAAAACAATGAACATTAAATAGGAAGAGAGACATAGAGCATAGTAAAGTTACCTTGTTCAAACCACGTGACGGGATCTCCAAAGTGCCTGTGTGAACTCTGTTCAGAGCAGTGTCTGTAATATAGGGAACAGACACCTTATGAATAGTATCAAAGAAACTAGAAAGTTGTAAAATATAAATGTAAAATAGTATAGTACTATGTTTAGTCAGTAGATGACCACAACAACTTTCTAACAACACAGACATTTGGATATCATTTGACTGAAGTGTAGTTCTACTCAATAAATTGGGCTGCAATTATCAGACATACATTCTGAAACTTAGAAATGTTTTTAAAAAAGGATTCTTACAGTGAGAATTGACTTTAAAAAATCACACTTCATAAGCTCGTTATAAAACAAATTATCATATACTACAGCCTTAGCTTTCTTTACTGACCACAAAACTATTTTATGGCTATTGAGAATGCTTAATGAAAATATGATATTGAAATATTAAAAAAAAAGGCTTGTTTATGATTTTTAAGACACAGCTGTATTTATTCATTTGTAGTATATTGAATTATTTCCAATAATAATGATGTTCTTTTAAATTTATGGTGTTGCTTAGTATGCAGTTAAGAAAAAATTTTAATTATAGTCACATTTTCACTTCTTCGGTCAGTTATCTGAACTTAAAGTGTGATTTAATTAGACGTTTCTAAGAATCAGTCAAGGTTTGCTGTTACTTTATCAAGCTTATTATTTGCTGGAACTTCTGTTTAAAAGTTTCTAAAATATCAAAGTGAAGATTATAAGACTTCAAACATGCAAGCTTGACTTGTAAGTTATTGAGTTACAAGAATTTAAATGTGGGATGAAAATTTCTAAAAAGTATTTTTTTTTGTAATTGTTTTGGTATCAGTGTTTTTGAAAACTTACTCTATCACCGATCAATCATATTTTTAAGTTGTACCATACCTGTAAAGAGTAGATGAACGGCTATTATTCCATCCTTTGTTAAATTGTTTTAGATAAAAACGATTGTATACTGTAAGGTTGTATATCTTCGGTAAAAACAGAACCAGAAATCTAGAGCAACTAGATTTGTAGCTGTGTTCATCCTTCCCTTTCTCAAAATTGCAAAGCTTCAAGGTATCTTTTGTAACCAGGTAAAGAAGTTCATTATATTATTTAATGAAAGAAAAGCATAGATTGTTAAATGGCTATTTAGTTTAATATTGTGTTTTGAGTTCATTAGGAACACATACCATCATGTATAATGATAAACTACTTTCCCTTATAGTTTGTCCTGAAGAACATATTTTGCAAGCAAGCAGTATCCTCGGAATTGAGTGAGACTGCATTTAGAAAAATGAATACATTTGTATGCACTTATCAGAGTCAGATGGTTATTCTACTACATAATTCTTACAAGTACAATAATGTGCTTCTTTATAGTATATGTTAACACAAGCTTTAGAATATTTTCACTATTTTTTTGTTGTTGTTGTTGTTTTTTGTAGTACTTGCTTCAGAGTAATAAAGGTGGTGAGATGGCTGCTGGAGGGGAAGATAAACAAGGGCTCCCACGAAAACAAGGCCAGCTGAGGTTTTTAGAAAGTACCCCTGCTGCTGGTCAGGCTCACACTCAACCAACCTATTTCAATTCTTTCATGCAGCTACAGTCTGAACTAGATGCTTTAGAAAACTTGAGTAAAGGACTTAGTATCAAGACTTTGAGTGAACACGGTCATGCCAAACATGGAGAAAAGTGGCACACTATGTCCACTCCTGTGTCATCTCATCAGACAGCTACAACAAACAGACCCCTATTTCCTGATGATAAAGCTGTGTCGATTCAAGGAGAAGGAACTGAACAAAGTATAGGAGAAGTTTCTGTAGAAAGCAAGTCCAGTGTTGCTTGCACAAGTCTCTCACACTTTGTTCTGCCCAAAGGTGATAGGTTCAATGTTCTAACTCAAGTGGATGCTGAGCTTCAAGCAATTATTGACCAGCTAGAAAAGCTGCTACCTCATAACCTGTCTGAAGGTGAATCCATTTAGTTGATAATTTTTGTCCTACTTAACTGAGTAAATAAAAAAACTTATTAAATGCTTTTATAATCTTCAACAAATGAAATAAACAGTAAACATTGTTTTTTCTTCCAAATCTGACGGGGATAGTTTAACACTGTTATAATAATATCATATTTATCTAAATGCTAGTTGAAGGTTGTGGCTGTTGTGAGTAGCACTTTTCGTTGTCTAAATCAACTGAAGATGTAACAGAAGGTGGTTCAGAAAGAGCTAACACAATTGGTTTCATCTTATTGTTTCAGTATCAAACATTTCTGCAGATGAAAAGGAAAGAGCATTAAGAGCAGCACAGAATGTGGAAGAAGCCATCGGCCACATCATTAGCTCCCATCGACCGTAATGCGACTGCAGTATTTTAGCTCGTTTCTAATAAACAAAAACTGCCACAGCCAAAGAACCCTGATGGTGAAAATATTGTATACAAAACTATTTGTGAGAAACCACAAACAGTGAGCTAGCTGTTCAAGATAATGCATGTTGAGTTTTTCATATTAGTTCATGTTACAGTAGATATTTGTTTAGTTCCCCCTCCCCCTCTATTTGTATATAGGAAAATGAATGTAGGACTTACTGACTAGATCATCAAAGGTTTTTGTTAGGTTTTTCAGTGATCAACATGTTTGTGGTTTATCTCCACAAGGTAAGTAATTTTCATAGATTATGAAGATTTAAGTAATCCAAAATCATTGTATAGATGTATATTTTTACACTGAAAATCTCATAATGGTGGTCTTTTTACCAAATTATGGGCTTGGTTGTCCTAGAGTAAAATTTCCATTCTATCATCGTACATGACCCATATCTTCTATACATTGCATACTTAATAAACTCTTCAAAAGTATTAGATGAGCTGTGATTATTTGTGAAAAACATATCACATACTCATTGTAAATGATCAGGTTTTTTCTCTCAAGGTTTTAAAAGTTGGATTTTGTATGCCTTTATACATGTTTTAGCTATGGATTCCTGGGGAAGAGATTTGAAGATTTATTAACTGAGAATACTGTAGAGCTACAAGTTTAGTGATTTCTCTTCAGTACCTGGTTGTGGTTTGGAAGATTTTGTGTAATGTTTAATATTTGTGACTTAAAAAATATAGGTAAAATGTTTGATGGGTTTATTGATTGTGTTTCAAAGGTGAAATAAAAGATACTGTGAGTATAGTGTTTGTGATGGATTTTTTGACTCGGTAATTTAAAGTTTTTCTTTTGTTTTTGTTCACAACATTGCACCTTAATAATATTGTAAGGACCAATTTTTCTATATTAGCTAAAGACTGTGAACTTTTTGTGCTGTGTACAAATCACTTCAATTTAATTTACTTTTTATGAACCGGTAAAATGTGCTTTTCAGAAAATCTTTGTCGTGTTACACTCAAAATGTTTGTTTCCTCTACTCTAGACTTGTTTTCTTACTAGCTTATGTTAGAATTTTTTTTAAACCATGCAAAATCTTGTTTATTTTAATTTGTTTTTATAAAACATTTTTTTAATTTGAAATGCTTGTGAAACAAGACAGGATTACTTAAGTAAGTATGAAGTGTAGAATTTATATAGTTTCTTCCACTAATTAGATATTATTCTGGTATGTAAGGACAAAAAATACAAGTTTTTTTTGTCAGTCCTCTGTAATTTGTGTGATTTTTCTAAATTCTACAGTAACTGCTTTTTTAACAGATTCATAAATATAATATAACTGATGTTTTAGGGAAAAGTTTCCTGTACAATTGGAACCAGTTTGACTTACTAATATTTATAACTAAATGTCTAGAAAGTTCTCAACAGTTTTTGTGTGCTGTTTATTATTATTATTCATCATGTCATGGACATTAGTAAAAAAGTTAATGATATAGTAGTATTATTATATGTATATATATTGTCTGCAGTGATGTGTTGAGTTTTGATGGTTTGTATTGCAAGAAAGTGTTGCTGGTTGTGAAGCAAGGTTTTTGATATGAAAAGGTTCTTAAATGCATTAAATGTAGTTTTTGATATTTTTATATTTCTGATTTCACATGCAGATTTTTTCTTAATGTTAGAGTACTAAATGTTTTTATCTTCCCAGCTTTTAAAGTGACGTTTGTCTTTTAGTCTTGTTTAGACTACATTTCAGTTTAAACTTAAAAAACTTGACAAAAATTCTTGTACAACATCTAACTGGGCATTTAAAACAAACAGTTTTTATTGCATAAAAGGTTTTTTTTTGCTCTGCCCTGTCTTTATGGTTTGTTTTTTATCAGTTTTAACCAATAAACACCAATAAAACACTTCCAATAAAAAAAAATTGATGTTTTTCCAATAAACACCAGAAATGGTTAGTCAGTTTACTTAACATTAATGTCCTCACTTTCCTGAGTCACTGTGCTTGCAAGATTTAACCCTTTCCATACGGACTACATTGCCTTGTAACATTACTGTAAAGGAAAAGGAACAGGATTTTATCCATTAGTGGTAAGTTTGTTTCTATAACTTAATATAAAATATTAGCTGTTCTTAAAAGCTTTAACATGAATAGAATTATTTTTTGTACCTACTATTGCTCCCATCAGAGAAATTAGTGTGCAGAGAATATACAGTATGTTAGTGTACTGATTACAATAAAAAAAAACAACTGAAAATTAGCAATTGGAAGATATCTAAATAAGACTATAAAACAGCTAAAAATATACACCGATTAAAAAAAACAGAAGCTCTGTTTATCTTATAACCTGCCATATCACAAAATCGTGTGCATGTGGCAATGCAGTAGCTGTTATGTATTCATCGGGATCAGTACAAAAGCTCAGGCCAGAGCATTGCAATTATTTTACCACATTTTCAGTTGACTTTTTTAGGAGATTTTTTGACGTCTTTTAGTGTAAGGCATTTAGTGTAAAGCAACAAATAGACATTACCATTTTTTACAGAGCAATTATTGGTTGCAAGTTTTATTTTTTTTTATATATTTGCATATGTGTTTTTTTTTATTCATGTTATTTTTTACTTATATATGTATATATATAGCTAAAGTGGACCAGTGAATAACCAGATTTTATGCTTCAAATTCAGTCGTTTTAAAATTATGTCAAGTATACGGTGATAGATATTCTTTTAGGAGCTAATTGCTTTACCATGTGAAGAATGTATATATATATATATATATATATATAGTTCTATTGAGGACCAGTGGTCAACCAGCTTTCACTTTTCAAGTTTAGTTCCTTGTTTTAACAATACCCAACAAAGAGTGATCCTTTTATATTTACAAAAAGTGCAAGACTAATGTAACCACAATTAAACTCCAAGTCATATTAATCGTGTCTTGTATTACTATAAAAATATCTCCTGCTATTATCGAGAAAGTTATTATTACCCTGCCCGTACTATTTTCCTCTATAGACCTTTGACCTATTTACTCACGAACCCTGCATCAAAGATGGACTTAAATACTACAAAGGTTGATCACAGATATAAGTTGAAGCTTGTCAGTTTGATTGGGAGAAATATTACTTGATTATTGTGACTTTGGTATCATTTATGGTTCTGAAAATCATCCAACCAGCTTTTTTTTTTTTCTGTTTATTGTCTGTAGAGTAATAATTGAATTATTGTGACTTTACCAAAGGCAGCATACAGTATAAGTATTATAACATGTTACAGTGGACTGCTTTATGTATTTGGACAGAACATAATTACACACTTGTACTGTCTAACGAGGTATGGCAAATTGAGATAATTACAGTAGAGTGATATGTTAGCTATTTGTATCATGTGTGACAAGGAATTTTAAATGCCTGATAATATGTCAATGGCAAAGCAATGCATTAAGATATATGATGATGTGCAATAGTGTTTTAGTTAGCTGGGATGTAGATGATAGGGCACAAAATGAATTGGAGATATTATTATGTGATGGTGAAAGTCATATTGACTAACTAGCAATATTATAAAACTTGTTTACAGCCAACAAAAGTAACTGAAAATAATTTGTTACATTTTTGGATATTTGAGAAAATGTTACAATTAACAAAAATAATGTTGATCAGGAATATCTAGAAGAACCTTCTAGCATGATGCTATAGTCAACTGAATAATAACAACAAGATAATTTGTTTGAAATATGTACGGTAGCAAGATTTAAGGTTAATTAATAAGAATAAGGTAATGAAGTTAAAAAACGTTATTTGATAAAGTTGTACGAAACTGAGTAATAATAGGATAATTGATTGGAAACTGTGCTGATGCTATGGCTAACACATTAATAATGTAATAAACAGGCCAAAAAATAAGTTATGTAACAAGATATTACATCAAATGAGAAATAAGAATGGGATAATCAGGTTTATAATGTGTTAGGTAACTAGGTGTTACAAGATAATTGATTGAAACTGTGTTATGTAACAAGTTATTACATCAAGTCAGTAATAAGAATAGGATAATCATGTTTCAAATATGTTACCAGTAACTGAGTAATAACTGTGGAATAAGTATCTGAAGTAACCTGTATTATGTAACAAGGTTTAAAAGCTGGGTTTAGAAGTATTAAATGTGTGACGTGAGACAAGTCTGGTTAGTGTTTTTTGTATACAATGTTTTTGTGACATTGCTAAGTTTTCTTGTATCAGTATTCTTGATCTGTGGTATTTTTCACCTGTTTCTTTGATTCTTTAACTAAAAAAAAAAAAAAGAATAGATAATTGTGTATGTTTACACCAGCCTTGATTTTAAATAAAACATTTCATGAAAAATTTTTTGTAGTTTTAAGAAGTAAGTAAGCACAGAAGACACCATGCATGTGGACAATATGGCAGTAAGATAATGTCAACATAAGGGTTAGCTGCTTCCATCAAGTTTTAACACACCAGAAAGTAATGTACGTAATTAATATTAACTTATCACCAAAACAAACTGCATACACAGTTCAAAACTTAAAAATTAACCCTGTAATGAATGTAGCCAATTAAATAATAATTGATGACCAAACCTGACTTGTTTGAGATCTGTGTATTTTTATGATAAAGTGACTTGCATGCAGAGCTGTAGCCTCAGCAACTTCATAACAGGGCAAGTGATAAATATTGTCACAACAGCGGAAGTCACGCAATGCTGGGAGCATGTGTGCTGGAGTTTCTCGAAAGATCATTAATTTTCCTGGCAACTCTAGTTTGTTCCAGGCACCCTCTTTTTTAGTATATAAGCCCGGTAAATAGAGCCAGCTAGTAAGATAGAATTGCATATATAGATAGATATAGAGACAGATAA